ATAGGGCGCGTGCGCTCGCCAGATAGACAGAGAGAGACATAGAGACAGAAAGTGAGAAATCACCCCCCAGGGGGGATGGTCACGCCGCAATCCCTTCTCCTCCATTCTCCTCTCGGGATCTTGGGCACGCACGCACACGCACCTGGCGTGAGTTTTAAGCCAACGGGTCCGGGACGCGAACCACGGTCGACTACGTGGGGGTCCAGCGACACAGCCATTATGCTAACTGCTGGTTCCCCGAACCAGTGAATATTTAAAATAGCTAAATGGGAAGTCAACACGGAATATTCCTATAACACATGTGCCATGATACACAAAACTTCTGCACTACTTTTGTCAATCCCTAACATCTATCTCTCTGCATTTTCATAAACCTCTACTTCACAAGGATAGTTATTTTATACACACTTGGCAGCAGCCTGCAATATAATACTTAGTATAAAAAGAAAGAAAGCCGTCATGCTGGAGAAGTTCCTTGAGAAATGGATATTGTTTGGGTGTTTAACTCCGTAAGATATGGAGACCTAAATAGAAGTCCTACTGAGCAACTCCTCAATGGGACCCAAAAGTTCCAAGGCAGTTGGTAAGTGACAGTTACAAATAAAGCTGGGGCAGGAAAAAACATGCAGGGGAATGAATAATGAACTAAGCCCAGGAGATGCTGAAACTGTTGAGTAAAGACGTCATAGCACGTACCTCGGAGTCTCCACCTGACAGCTTGCTTCCCATTGTCAGCATGCTGGACAGCAGTAACCAGCCTCACTGGAGCAATGAGCTTCTACAAGCTCAGCTACAGCAGCAAGTCTCTCAACTGCAAGATCAGCTGGATGCTGAGCTGGAAGAGAAGAGGAAGGTCTTACTTCAGCTGTCCAGAGAGAAAGGTAGGTCGGGCCTTACAGAGCCCTCTCAAACGTGGCCTCCTCTACGCCTGGAAAAGGGAGTTTGCAGTGACCTGCACTGCTCAACGTGTACTTGAGTGCGAGCAGCGGTAGATTGGGGAGAACACACACACACACACAAGTAGAGAAAAGTGGGGATTGGGAGGTCCAGACTCCTCTGATGGAGGCAGTTATGGTCCTGAGCCTTTCGCAGGTTTTTTCTTTTATAGGGCAAAAAGGGAGGGAGAAACGGAATGCAAAGCCAATTGTTTTCTGATGTGATGAAGATCTGGACCTCGGGTGTCCTGTAGTTGTATACAAGCTTTCTCTTATTTTCTGGGCCTTCTCTGACTAACACAGAGATTCCTTTCACGAACACCGCCCTGCAGTGTTGACACAAGAAGGACAGAATCTCATCCTTGTTAAAGCTTTCGCTAGCCCTGCAGCCGTCAGCACAGGACCCTGTTTCCACGTGTGTTTGAAGGTCACTATTGTGTTGCTCAGATCTGGCCGCTCCCTGCAGGAACTGGCCATCACTTCTCCAGTGATCTCATCTGACCCTATTGTTTTGTGATTGGTAGATAATTAGAATAAGAACACTGGTGGGGCCAGCAGGTGGTATGGTGGTGAAGGTGGTGTGGTGGTTAAGGGCACTGGACCTCACATGGCTGAGGTGGAGTTCAAGTCCTGGACCTGGTGGCTCGCTTTCTCACTTTCTCTCTCTCGCTCTGTCCCTTTCTGGTCAAATTAAAATAAATAAATAAAGTTAAATAAAATAATTCTTTAAGGAAAAAAAAAGAACACTGACAATGAATTCAGATTTATAATCAAAGAAACCTGACGCTTACCTACCTTGTATATATACTTCTTATGTCATGTTTTCTCCATTTGGGAGGATGGCAATTTTTAACTTATGTTTCTAAATGTTCACTTAATTTATTGCAAATGAATTTGTCTTTTATCATTCTCATTAATCATTTTAGAGGTGAGTGCAAACCATATTTTTTTAGGTCCCTAATACCTGAAATTGAGAAGCAACTTGCTACTTTTGGTTACTATTATCGTTTCCTCCCTTGTTTAACTCTTGGTTCACAGGAAATAGCATTCAGAAGGGTTTTGTTGTTGTTGTTTTTATAGGTTTTTGCCATAGGGTGTGTGTGCTTGCTGGAGAGAGAGACAGAGAGAGAGAGAGAGAGGAACAATGAGAAATCACCCCCCAGTGGGGATGGCCATGCAGTTCCTTCTCCTCCATTCTCTTTTTGGGATTTTGGGCATGCGCACACACACATGCCCAGTGTGATTATCAAGCTGCCGGGTCTGGGGCTCTAATCACGGTTGGCCATGCGGGAGTCCATTGCCTCAACCACCACAATACGTGCTGACCCCAGTATTCAGAAGATATTTAAATACTGTCAAAAAGACCTTCATCTTACTTATTTTTCCTAGCCTAGTCTTTATATTTAGTCTCACTATATTTACATCTCTTCAGATTCTGGTATGTTCAAGTAGGAAAGTGAAAGAAAAGAAAAACGATATCTTAAAAAGTACAGGCAGGAGCCATGAGAGGGTAAAGCTTAGGGGCATATGCCAAGGACCCTGTAGTATGGATGAAGTGTGAGTGACGTTCTGTAAGGACCTTAGGGACAATGCAAGTTAACCCCGTCTCAGTGCATGATGGTGAAGCGATCTGCACACTAAATACCCATCACCTTCCTTTCCTGAAGTACATCTGCACATAGCATGAGCACACGCACAGAAGCGCCCACCTCCCCGCCAGGCCAGGGTGGGTATGAAGACGGTGCCCCAGAGAACGAACAGCCAACAAGTCGGAATGGAGTGGAGGTGGGGGTGGTGAGATACTGGTTTGGATGGTGTTGTCAAAATGCTTGGATCACCTCGCTCAAGTGACTCTGTCTCTGTTTTTGTTTCATTGTTGTTGTTCCACCTTCCATGTTATAGTTCTGCAGTTGTTTGTTTGTTTTGTTTTTCAAGTGCAGTCACCTCAGTTTATCGGGTCAAGAAACTAGAAGCTCTTTGTAGAAATGAAAAGAGACTTGCTTGTCTAAGGGCAAATTTAGGAAATGAATTGAACATTATCAGGAAAATGTACCTTACACTTGATCCAGTTCTGACCATGGATACTAATAATTAGGGAGTGTCAACTTTTTGGATTATTTTTTCCCCAGCTGAGAACAAGGATCTGAAACTTGAAGTCACCAACATGCTTCAGAAACATAAAGAGGAAGTTGAACTCCTCCAAAAGACAGCCATAATTTTTCCATCTCCTGACAGGCAATCTGAGCCAACCACGCACCCAGCTCTAGTCCGAGAAGCCACTCAGATAGAGGTAAGAGCCTCGTTAAACAGCCGAGTCTACTCTACAGAGGGATCTTCAGCACATATTCCCCAGGAAAGAAAAGGAGATTAGAAAACTAGCTGAATATTATTTTGTCCTGATTGAGGACAGTGTTTGGAAGGATATGAGAAGGCTGAGAGTGGAAAAAGCTTCCAGAGCTCTACTCGTTTTTCCCACCCTTTACGGTTCATGAGATTTAGGATCTTTTTCAGATGAGGACTTGAAATGATCTGCTGAAAAGCGAACAGTCACTAGAGGCTGTATAATCTCCCTTCACTGCTGCTACTGAAGCTGAGGACCGGGGGAGAGAACACTTGTGAAGTAATTCAAGTCCCCTGGGACATTTTGGAGTAGATTCTGCTGCTGGTGTTGTACTGCGACCGACAACTGCTTTATGGAAAATAGTTATTACTGTACCTGTCGTATTTTTACTCCCTTTTACCAATGCTTTTCCCTCTATAGCCTAGTGAGCCACAAAACCAAGAAGAAAAGAAACTATCCCAGATGTTAAATGAGCTACAAGTATCGCATGCAGAGACCACCTTGGAACTAGAAAAGACCAGAGACATGCTTATTCTACAGCGCAAAATCAACGTGTGTTATCAGGTGCAAGAACAGATGGTACCGGAAGGGGGTAAATGGGCGCATGGGAACCCCTCCCTGGGAATGAAGCAGGACCTGAGCTTCCAGGGCCGATGCCAGGTGATATGCTGTGCTACTCAAACACAGGTGTGCTGTCCTTTGAAGAACTCGAGGACTCGTACATCTCCATGGCACCTTGGCACTAGAAGCCAGTGAAGGGGCCAGCTAATGAAAATGGCAAATGTGAAGCTTCTGGGTTCAAATTTTTCCAGTCCAAGGAAAATACTATTTATGTCTCTAACAGCACAACGAGTCCTAGAGAGTTCTGTGAGGAACCCAAGCCATTCTCTAGTGGACAAATCTGCCCTACTAAGGAGATAGCAGAGTTTTCTGTATCCAGCACGCACCACCTTTTTATCTGGGCTCTTTGGTTCTGGGCCAAAGAGGTGGAAAGGTTCAGACATTATTTTGTTTCAGGAGGAACTGGAGGCAATGACAACAAAAGCCGATAATGAAAATAGAGATCACAAAGAAAAACTGAAGAGGTTGAATCAACTCCTAGACCTCAAGAACAACCGTATCAAGCAGCTGGAAGGTATTTTAAGAAGCTATGGCCTCCCAACATCTGGCAAGTCTTAGTCTTAGTACTTTCTCCTCATCTTGGGACCCTTCACACAGCTAAGGCCTATGTCACTTCTGTGTGCTTGCCTAGAAGGCTGCTGCTTTTGCCCTTAGCATGCGACTTAGCCCTCCTATTCTTTATCAGCTTTGTTGTTTTAAAACACAGTTGGCATTTCTTTTTTAAAATTATGTATTTAATTTTGTTATTATTATTATTATTATTATTGCTATATTTTAATTTAACCAGATACACACACACAGGGAGAGTGAGAAAGCAAGCTACCAGGTTCAGGACTAGAACCATCGTCAGCCATTTGGGAATTCAGCACCTTCACCACCATGCCACCTACCAGCCCCAAAACATAGTTAGCTTTTCTTTCCACCCATCTTGTCTGCATTTCTCTGATTTTTCTGGAGAATTTCAACAGGGCGCCCAGCGATTGCTTTCAGGGGATTGATTCTACTTTGAGAGTGAGAGTATGTCCCTGTTGACCCTCAGGGTGCCATGTTTTTTTCTTTCTTTCTGTCTGTCTCTCCATTGTTTCCTCAAGCAAGGCCTATAAAGCAGTTTTTATCAAGTAATAGGTCTTTATTACTCATTTCCTACCATCCATTTCTGTGATTTCTCTCAAAGTCTAGAATCTTGGTTGCAGTTCAAGGATGTCAACAACGTGAGGGCAGAGGCCAGCAGGTGGTGTAGGGTTAAGGCTCTGGACTCCCATTTGGTCAACCACAGTTTGAATCTTAGACCCACAGCTTGAAATTCACAATGCACATGTGCACGCATGCCCAAAATCCTGAGAGGAGAATGGAGGAGAAGGGATTGTGGCATGGCCATTGCCCTGGAAGGTGATTTCTCTCTTTCTGCCTCTCTGTGTCTCTCCCAAGCACACACACACACCTTATAGCAAAAAACTCAAAAAAATGGGAGGCCAGCTGGCCAGATACATCATGGAAATTTCATCTCATGGTTCTTTCCACGTTTAATTGTTCTTGCTGTCCAGAGTGTGGTCTCAGTCTTATACGCCAAGATAGTTGGCCATGTTATTGTACCCAGCGTATTTGTGTATTTCTTTTGAGAATGATCTCATCCTGTCTTTTGTCCATATTTTAATTATATTTTATTGATTTGTATAAGTTCTTTATATGCCGAGATTATTATTATTATTGTAGTTCTAGTTTTTAGTTTTGCTATGGGACATGTGTACTTTCCAGAGGGAGAGAGAGGGGAAGTGAGAAATCAGTGGGATGGCCGTGCTGCCATTGTCTCCTTCATTCTTCTTCATTCTCTCCTTCGGAACCTGGGCATGCACGCACATGTGTCTGGAATGGTTCTCAATCCACCAGATTGGGACTCAGACCACACAGTCAGGCACGTGGGATCCAGCCACCCTAACCACTACACCTCCAACTAGCCCTAAAATATACTAAGACTATTAAGTCTGTGTCATGTAATATAATTTAAAAATATATTTCCTTTAGTTATATTAGTCTTATCAATAAAGAAATCATTAGTTAGTCTCTGTATTTTTTTTCACACACAAAGATATTCAGATATGCCCAGAACATTTTATTGTACTGCTTCAATTCCATTTATTTTTTACTTTTTGGCTATAGGGCATGTGCACTCACTAGAGACAGAGAGAGAGAGAGAGAAAGAGAGAGTGAAAGTGAGGAAACACCCCCCTGAGGGGTGGTGACCATGCCACAATCCCTTCTCTTCCATTCTTCTCTCAAGATCTTGGGCACTCACACACATGCATCCAATGTGTTTTCCAAGTCACTGGGTCCAGTACTCAAGCCATGACATAGTTGCTGATGTGAGATCCAGAAGCTTTAACCGCCATGCAACTTGGCTGGCTCTCTACTGCTTTAATTCTTAAGATGGAACTGTCACCATTAACATGAAGAGATGACTCAAATACTCCTTAATTTGAAGCAGACTATAAATTTAAGTTTATAATTGATTGAACATAAGAGACCAGCAGATGGCATAATTGATACATCGCTGGACACCAACGTAGTCAACCACGGTTCAAGTCCTGGACCTGGCGGCTTAAACTGATGCAGGGCACATGTGTGTGCATGCCAAAGATCCCGAGAGGAGAATAGAGGAGAAGGAATTGCAGCATGGCCATCCCCCTGGGGGGTGATTTCTCGCTTTCTGTCTCTCTGTCTTTCTGGCAAGCCCATTTGCCCTATAGCGAAAACCTCAAAAAAAAAAAAAAAAAAAAAAGAATTACTACTCGAATTTGGTAAACTGTCTACATATCTATCTTTGCATCTTACAACTAATATTTTTTATCTTTTCTAGTAAATTTCCTTATTTTTTTTACTCCATTACTCTTTGACTTACATTAGATTTTCAGTGGGCCAGTAGGTGGCGTGGTGGTTAAGGGCACTAGATTCCCACATGACCAACCGCAGTTCGAGTCCCAGACCTGGCAGCTGCTTTCTAGCTTTCTTTCTCTCTCTCTCTCTGTGTGTGTGTGTGTGTGCGTGTGCGCATGTGTGTGTGTGTCCCTCTCTGGTCAAAAATAAATAAATAAATAAATAAATAAATAAATCTGGTCAAATTTAAATAAATAAATAAATAAATAAATAAATAAATAAATAAATAAATAAATAAAGTTAAATTTTAAAAATTAGATTTGCTGGCCTTCTAATGATGAAACCAAACTCTGAACAGAATGAAAATTCTGTGACTGCTCTGCTGGGGAAGAGAATTTCTTCACTGGGGCTCAATGTCCCATAACAGACACTGGTCTGTAACTTTCTGTTCTCTCCATGGCCAATACTCTAAACTTTTGAAAACCATCAGATTTTATGTTTCTAATGCTTCTTTTACAGAGATACTAATTAATTCTTAGGATCTTGCTATATGCCAAAAGAAAGTTTATACCATGAAATGTGCCTCAAGTGTCTTCATGAATTCGATATTTAATTTCCAGTCGCTCATGTTGTACCTTCTTTCGGAAGCAGGGTTGGATTAGTTGGCTATCAGAGTCCAGAGCTACATGTTGGCATGCTCTTGCTTTTCCTTTTGCGTTACTTTGTTTCTTAAAATTATCACAACTTGGACTTGCACTTTGTTTTGTTTTGTTCTGTTTTGTTTTGTTTTTCTCCTCCTGCCCACCCTCCTTTACCCTAAGGAAGAACTCCCTACCCTTTAATGGATAGGCAGTTTTCTTTCTCCTCTAGAACAGCTCAAAGATGTTGCTTACGGTACTCGACAGTTGTCATTACCTCTGCAAACACTGCCATCCCGGGAAAATGAGGACACAGTGGAAACATCTCTGCTGCATCAGAATGAGAATCTTTTTGAACTACACATCCACCAGGCCTTCCTGACATCTGCTGCCCTGGCTCAAGCGGGAGACACCCAACCTACCACTTTCTGTACTTATTCCTTCTATGATTTTGAAACCCATTGTACCCCACTCTCTGTGGGGCCACAGCCCCTCTATGACTTAACCTCTCAGTATGTGGTAGAGACAGATCCCCTTCTCTTGTACTACCTTCAAGGGGCCTCTGCCCGGCTTGATCTACACCAGGCTGTGGCCGGTGAACACCACACCCTTGCGACTGGATGGATTTGCTTTTACAGGGTGCTAGAGACTGTGGAGACGGTCTATGGCACAGTCAAGCTTACTGGTAAGTGCTGTTGGCTTCCGGCAGCTCCTAGGACTGGTCCAGTTTCCTCCAGTCTCTATTGCTTTTCCGGTGGTTTCCCATTCCCCTCCTCTGCCTTTATTTCTGATCCTTGCCACATCATCTGTATTCTCCATGCATTTCATTCGTTCTGCTGCTCAGGAGCTGGCGGAGAAGACTTCGGGGTGCTAGAGTACTGGATGAGGCTGCGCTTCCCCATTAGACCCAGCCTACAGGCATGCAATAAACGAAGGAAAGCCCAGGCCTACCTGTCAGCCAACGTGCTTGGTGCCTGGGAGGCCCAGGAGGATGAGGTGAGCGAAAGGATGTGCCCTCACCTCTCCAAGGAGCCTCAGCAAACAGCTCATCAGAGACAGCTCAGCCTTCCACTCTGAATAAGTATTTGTTGATTGTGAACGAAAGAGAAAACCTGCCACACCACAGATAGTGCAGATTCTTCCCTTGGTCAAGCTGGAGTCTCACATGAAATCATGCCCTTGGAGCTAGCTGCCTCTCCTTGCCGGGAACAAAATAGCTTCCCTGCCATCCTCCAAGGTCGTGCCTAGCGCTGGCATCTCCCTCGTGTAGCTGCAGGCAGGGGAAGGTCCTTAGAGTGTCTAAAAAAAAGAAAAACCCTGCCACACCACAGATAGTGCAGATTCTTCCCTTGGTCAAGCTGGAGTCTCACATGAAATCATGCCCTTGGAGCTAGCTGCCTCTCCTTGCCGGGAACGAAATAGCTTCCCTGCCATCCTCCAAGGTCGTGCCTAGCGCTGGCATCTCCCTCGTGTAGCTGCAGGCAGGGGAAGGTCCTTAGATCTCTCCATAACCAGTCAGGGTGATGACATTCTAGACTGTAGCTCTTCCTCATCAAGGGTGCTGGGCTTCACCCACAGCACTCGCAGACGCCCTTTTCCACAATCCAAGACCAACATCTTTCCAGTCCAGATCAGCGACTCGGAAACCTCAGAATGAGCTGCGGATTGAAATCACCAGGTGCTGCGGCCTCCGGAGTCGATGGCCAGGAACTCAACCCAGTCCATATGTCATGTACCGCTTCTTCACCTTTCCGGACCATGACACCGTCATTGTTCCAGCCAGTAACAATCCCTACTTTAGAGACCGGGCTTGCTTCCCAGTGCTTGTGACCTCTGACCTGGATCACTATCTGAGGCAGAAGGCCTTGTCTATATACGTGTTTGATGATGAAGACTCAGAACCTGGCTCCTACCTTGGCCGAGCCCAAGTGCCCCTGCTGCCTCTTGCACAAAACAAATGTATTAAAGGTGGGAGTTCAAGGTTATTACACCTGCGTGTGTGCTTTCTGCCCAGTGTTGCCTCCCTGTCCTGATTTTACTTTTCTTCGATTACTTGCTTGGAACAGTCTCTTTTACGGCCTGCTAAAAGGACTTTAGAATATTGTCAAGAGCAACAGAGCCCAAGACTTAGAGCCTCACTGCTCATATGGAAATACTGGCTTCTGCTGCTTTTTCAGCAACAAAAACAAGTGGGTAGACCCACCAGCTTGCATTCTGTACCTCTGTCTTTGGACAAACTTTTCAAACTCTGCAGTGTTTCCCAGGATGTGTCACTGCTTAAAGCTTATTGATTTCTAGTGCATGACGGATTATAAACGGTGACCCAACACTCCCCCCAGATTCTCTCACTTTTAAATATTAGATACAGATTAAAGGAGACTTCTGTGCCAGACCATGACAATGGCAAATTTCCTGGTTTTGTTTGTTTGTTTTGTTTCGTTCCCAGCATGGAATCGAGACCATACCAGGCTACTTTAGTTTCAGGGTTGTTGCGCATCCAGGGCAGGCTGACCCTGTGGCCATGGTCCTGGAAGCAGTAGCCACGTTCTCATTAGGAAGTTTAAACAGTACTCACCATACCTAAGCGCTAAGCACAGCTAGTACTTACGATGTTTAACAAGCTTCTGGATACTCCAGGAAATGTTCAGGGTGCCCCTCCTCCCAATATTACAACTGCTTAAAAAAAAGAGGCTGACCCTTCTGCTCACAACTCCTTCACCAAAGAGGAGGGGCAGAGTGAGCCACCTGTTCATCGATGTTGTAAGTCAGAAGTCTGGCATTTGGAAAAAGCCCTTTTGCTTAAATTTTCTTAGGGCCACTTCAGTGTAGAGAATGGTTTTCTTGATATGCCTGAGGCATAGTAAGCATTTGAAGATAGTAATAATCACGCGTTATGATTTATTGGCTGGGTGACCGATAACAAGCAAGCTACAGTCCTCTCCTTGCCTCCTCTGTGTCTTCCTGAAACCCGGAAGTGCCCAGCTCCCCTTTTTCATGTTCTATTATCCTGGTAGTTCATGTTACTTTTGAGTGTGTCATCACCATGATTATCTGATGGATGTTAATTAATGACTAACAAAACAGAACATAAAAAATGGGGAGAAATAGTTAAGGTGCTCACGAAAGCCCACTTGCCTATTTCATGTTAATGTCTCTGTCTTTGGCAGGTGATTTCAACCTCACTGACCCTGCAGAGAAGCCCAATGGCTCTATTCAAGTGCAGCTGGACTGGAAGTCTCACTACATACCGCAGGGGAACTTCCTGAAACCAGATGCTCCGACCAAGGACATAGATGCCAAAGACAATGTAGAGCTCTCATCTGAAGAGGAAAAGGCATCCTTTTCTCCCCAGGTACCTCTCCAGGACTTCCTAGGTCGTAGATCTCCGCCCCGCCTATGGAGCAGATTTTAAAGTGACAGTATTAAAATTGGAAGAAAAAAAAATTCTGTCAATGTGTTCTGTGAACTTAAATTGTATCCCACCTATAGGCTATTTTCTTTTTTTTTTGGAGAGGTTTTCACTATAGGGCGCGTGCGCTTGCCAGAAAGACAGAGACAGAGAGAAAGAAAGTGAGAAATCACCCCCCAGGGGGGATGGCCACGCCGCAATCCTTTCTCCTCCATTCTCCTCTCAGGATCTTGGGCACGCACGCACACGCGCCTGGCGTGAGTTTAAGCCGCTGGGTCTGGGACTCAAACCGTGGTCGACTACATGGGAGTCCAGTGACATAGCCATTACGCTAACTGCTGGTCCCCATCTATAGACTATTGATGGAGCAAGACCTTGGGTTTTGTTGTGAGGTGAGAAGGGGGTTCTTTCAGCTCTGTGGCGGGAAGGAAAGGAAGTATGGGACCAGCAGATGGCATAATAGTTACATCAGTGGTCGACTGTGGTTCGAGTCCCAGACCTGGTGACTTAAAACTCACACTGGCCGCCTGTGCATGCATATCCGAAGTCCTGAGAGGAGAATGGAAGGGAAGGGATTGCAGCGTGGCCATCTCTCCTGGGGTGTGATTTCTCACTTTTTGTCTCTCTCTGTCTCTCTAGCGGGCATCCATACCCTATAGGATAGAAAGGAAGTCTAATGCTAGTTCACAAATCCCTTTCTTGAGCGTCAAGGTTGTTGGACTCTCACCTTCAATCTTTCTATTCAGGACCAGATGGACTATAATGAGATTCCCATTGAAGCTGGCCAGTACCAAGCAAAAAGAAAACTTCCTCAAGTGGGAGAAAGAAAGGAAAGGGAACATCAGGTTACGAGCTACTCAAGAAGAAAACATGGCAAAAGATCTGGTGCCCAAGGAAAGAACAGGATGGAGTATCTTAGTCGTAATATCTTAAATGGAAACACACTACAGGTAAGACCTTAAAATCCTGGGACCTACATATGAGATAATGGTTACATTGCTGGACTCTCACATATTGGACCATGGTTCTAGTCCTGGATCTGGTGGCTTAAAACTCACGCTGGGCATGTGTGCATGTGTACTCAAAATCTCAAGAGGAGAATGGATTGTGGTGTGGTCATCCCCCTGAGGGGTGATTTCTCATTTTTTGTCTCTCCACACACCCTATAGCAAAAATCTAAAATAAAAATGAAAGTAAAAAAAGACCTTAAAACCCTAAAGAACTAAAATATGGGTTATAGTGTCCCCAGATGTATCATCCTCAGAGGTAGAAGCAGAAGCTGACATACAAGATAAACCAACATCATAACTAATCAAATGCATTGGTCACTTTCTTTCAATGTAATTTAATTCAGCATATCATGTTATCTATGGTTTATGCTTAGAACTTTAATACCGTGTGTGTGTGGTATTTATTTAAAAACACATACTAAATTTTAAAATTAAAAGAGCTAACATTGGGCCAGTTGATGATGTGGTTGATAGGGCAGCTGGATCCCAAATGGTTGACTACATAGTGCAAGTACCAAACCTGGCAGCTTGAACAACACACCAGGTGTGTGTGTGTGTGTGTGTGTGTGTGTGTGTGTGTATGTGCTTAAAATCAAAAAAGGAAAATGGAAGAGAAGGGATTGCAACATGGACATGCTCCTAGGGGGTGTGTTCTCACTTTCTCTCTCTCTGCATTTCTCTTTTTCTCTCTTCTCCCTCTGGTGAACTCATACACTCTATAGCAAGCAAAGAAAAAGAAAAAAGAAATGTACAAAAAAAGAGAGACAGGTTAAGAAAGAAGAAATAAAGAGTGAGAAAGGAAGAAAACGAAAACAGTATCATCTGTATCAAATTGTTCTTATTCTTTTTTTTGAGAGGTTTTTGGTGTGTACGCTCGCCAGAAAGAGAGAGAGACAGAGAAACAGAAAGTAAGAAGTCACCTCTCCCCCGAGGGGGATGGCCATACCACAGTCCCTTCTCCTCCTCTCAGGATCTTGGGCACATACATGCACCCAGCATAGTTTAAGCCACCGGGTCTGGGACTCGAACCACCGTCAACTAATGGCAGTCCAGCAACATAACCATTACTCCAATCGCTGGTCCCTCAAATTGTTCTTATTCTACAGCAGGTTAACTACACTGAATGGAAGTTCTCGGGGCTCAAGATCTCCACAGATGATGATTTGAAAAATCAGAGCCAGGAAGAGGAAATGGCATTATCTCATTCAACCCTGAAACAGAAGGAGCCTCTCCACCTTGTAAATGGTATTATCTTTTTAAAATCTGGGTTTTCTACTTGCCCACTTTATTTTATCAAGCCATAACATTGCTTTTTTCCTTCATC